GCATGGGAATGGGGTGGAAGGAAGTGAAGCACGGGTCGGGTGCCGTTTGTTTTCTGCACCTGCTGCAGCCAGCCGCACGCCTAACCATGGCCGACCGCGTTGCCTTCTCTGCTCCCTCTAACTTCTGTTTGTTCTCTACCACTGACTGCGTGTTGACAGCAAGATTTTAGTGTCGATGCAAGTGCCTGCAACATCGAGCAAGTGCAGGCGAGTAGGAAAGCGGACCGGCATCCTACCCCCCGGCCTTCGATTCCCGCGCCTTTTGAGCGCAGAAATGACACTCTACCGGCACTCCGAACCGAGGCAGGTTCACTTTGTCCTCAAGACTCACCTTGCTTCACCAAAAAAAAAACACTTGTATCTTGGCTTGGGACGCGTGTGTGCAACTTGGATCATATATTTATGACTGTTATCACACAATGTTCTCATTATTTTTACATAGCTAACTGAACATTTTCCATTATAAACCTTATCACCACACCCATCCCTAAATCCTAGCTGAACAGGGCTATTTTTTTCGCTACACCCACCTTCATGGGAGTTGTCTAATTTTCTTTAGCAAAGCTTTCCGCACTACGGCTGAACACCTCATCTTTTGTGCGCGAGGTTGAAACCTGTATTACTTCGTGATTGATAGGTTTTTGAAAGCAGCTCATGCCATGTAACTTTTGTAGCTTTTTTGACAGTAAGTCATAAAAGTTCCTATCCGAACCGATCGTATCAGCGCTGTAAACGCGCTCCTGGTGGGAGGTTGAACAAAATCGGATGGGTTTTAAAGAGATACAGTCTTCTTTTTTAACTTTCAGAAATTTCGCGAACTTGGATCGAGTTACACCTGAGAAACTCCAGTTCCAGACAATTGTCATTTCGTTCTGTGCTGGACAGAGACGTGACCACGATTACGTCGACACGAAAATATCCCACCATGCACAGCCACCGCCACGTTTGAAATACGCAGCCACGCCTACCACATCCCAGGAATTTCGTGTATACCAATGCTGATATGTTAGTGATTGATTCAGGAGGAAAAGGAAATTGTGGTGAAAACGCCACAGGTGGGCCTATTCCATCCCTCTCGAAGCCACTCCCGACTGATTGCGACGTTATCGACTGTACATTCTATCGCCCACCTCGATTTTACATATCACCTTGGAGGAGGTAACTGGCTGTGTGCTATTGAAAGGGCGGCTCGTACAAGGAGGGCACTTCAAAATTTCTATTCCATTCTCGGAATTATTTCGCCCACACTGTCCCACTTTTCAAAATGCTCGCGTAATTCTTATAGACATTTGGTGTCTGGTGTAGTTTTATCGCGTGAACATAGAAAGCTCGCCCGTTTCGCGCGAAACAACCCCAAATCAAACCACCGAATTGGTGAAAACTTATCTCCAGGGGTAGGTTGGCTCCCTAAACACGAATATCAAATTTTCTCGCAAACACGCACGGCGTTCGCTTCTAGTGAATGCGATTTCGTTTGCGGGAGGGGGGGGGGCAACTACTCGTATGGATTGATATCTGCCCAACTCTACTCTCAGGGAAATAATTTCAATTGGAAATTGATCGGGATCCCAAAAACTGGGACAGCACAGACTAGATAATGCACTGCTCTTTTAGATGTACATGTGACTTATTAATGAGGTTTGTGCGGGGAACAATAACCGGTCCTAGCTGCAGCAAAATTCATTCGAAATAATGCTTTTTCTAATCTTCCATTCTCAACAATATTGGGCTGGTATCATTCCATTCCCACTGGCCTAATTCATCAAAAGTCTGATAACCTGTTTTATAGGACTTCAGGAATATATGCGCCCTTTGAATGGGGTTGTAAATGAGGCAATCGAGCAATAGACTTAGTGGATTTGAGAGCGCACAGGTAGAGAACTCGAATCATGCTGAAATGGTCGCCGTTTTCAAGTGCATGAACTAATCCAGGTTCTACTCAATATCGTAGCGTTCAATTGCCGATGAGGTTTATTCATTTGATGACGACTAGCGTTAGGTTCCTTTCGCATAGAGGTGATTCCTCCTTGATCGCTCTTCTCTAACGTTGGTCAGTGCCATCGCAGGGTTCGCAGTTTGAACTAGCTTCTTTGACAGAGGTCATTCACCCCTCAGTAGCCTTCGCATGCTGACCAGAACTCAGGAACTCAGGCGAGAGTTCTGTGCCCCACTTCCTGGTGACGTCTTGACATTAACACTTGTAGACATGGTTGTTGTGACAGGGTTCTTCGTCAGCCGGCCAACCCGGGGCTTGACGCTGATCGGCACCAGTTTTGCAAGGCATGGTCTCTGCCTCGACAGGGATGGGACTCGTGGCCGGCGCTGTTTATCGAGGGGGCATTTTGTATTGTAATTGCTTCCCTGGTTCCCCTGGTTCCGGTTTACAAATCTCACTCTGGTAAAACTTGTGAACGCTTGTGAAGCTGGAGCAAGATCGTCTAGCCACCATCCTAAAACGTGTCAACTCGAAAAAGGGTACCTAGATGGGTTGGCAAATCTATGAAAAGCAGAATGCCCCCCCCGTCGATAAACAGCGCCCCGTGGCCTTTTTCCATAGTGGGCAGACATAAGTCTACTCTCTTATCTCTGCACATCACTGCGTTTTCTTTTTTCAATAGTGAAAGCATGAGCTTTTTAATATTCTATTGCCTTTTTAGCTTTAGACATATTCAAGACATTGCGAAACGCCGTCCTACAGGTGTTTCCACATTCTTTCCATATTGTCTACGTCGATAGACCCCCCAAATTCGCCCGATTTTTTTCTTGATTTTCAAGGAATCCTTGTCTTCCATCTCCGTAACGCCAAAGAAGGATAGGTGTGTGGCTCCGCATGTAGATCACTCTGTCCCAGGGTATTTTATTTTAGATGCTGAGGCTGCTCGGTTGAAATTTAGCAGGTCTAGCTTTTTCCGCTTATTTCAGTAGATTTCATTTTATACTGCAAATAGATTGCTATCTTTGGTTTCTTGCCTTTTCGCTCCCCCAAGTAGCCACCGCTACGAAAATATCAATCTCCTGCTATTTTTGGCTAGTGCTGGAACGATTTTCGCTTGAGGATGCTAGCATTTCGAGTCCCATTGTGGAATAATCTTCATCATTATTCATACTGATCCGTGTTTCGCGCTGACGTGTATCGCTCAATACTGGTAGTTTAGAGAAAATAGAAGTACAATGGCTGTGGTGGAATCGATCTTACGATCGCTTCGCCATCGACGTCGTCGGCCATCGAGTGCTGTGGTAAAGCAGGTCAAGGAAGCAAATACAGTAAATATTGCGATAGAAAACGAATTGGCGTTCCTGGATAAGCTCCATAGTCCACCTAATTCCCCAACAAAAGCACCATTAATCACTGTAAATCGTCTGCCCCCAAAGGATCGTTCTACATCTCCTCGAAAATCAAAAGACGAAAATAAGCCGTCCCGAAAACCCCTACGTGACGCTAACAAGCAGCAGCAGCAGCCGGTCGAGAAGAAGACTCCGAAAAAGGATAAAGGTCAGTTTTCGATTGTTTTTCACGTCTGCACGGGGATTTGGTGAGTCTAGCTGCGGATTTGGGATTTGAAATGTCAACAAACAACCCTGTCATCTGATTTTTCTGCATTCCCATTGGATTTTTTTCTGCCGTGCCACAGATGCACTTTTCTCGCTTTTAAAATCGATCGCAGCTCATTTCAGCGCTCAACGTTCTGGGCGTTACACCATTTTGTTCACATGGGTCTATTGAGGGTTGACTTCCCATCTGTTTACGTATCCCGACCTTTCTGCCTGCCAGATTTGTGAAGCTTTCCAAGGTTTACTTGTTGCTTGGGGTTGTATTTGAATTTATCGGTGGAGAGGTCCCTTTGAGCTGGGTTTGTGTTGATCCGGAGCGTATGGGAATTTGTGAAGTAGAATAGGGAATTTTATATTATGGTTGGGCCACCGTCTCCTAGAGATAGGGCCCATGATTTTTTTCTGGGAACCAGAGGTTCAGAGGTGTAGCTGCAGTTGAACTTTTGGATTTGAGGGGGTCATATGTAAGGAAGTGGTTTCAAGATTCATACTGAGCCACCTTCTGATGACCATGAGGCCTTGATTTTTTGAAACTTTTTTGGGAAAGACCTTAGGAAAAAAATTTCTGAAAAGCAGGATCAGGAAGCAAAAAGTAAGATCACCCGCTTTCAGCCCATAGTATCTTTGAATTCAACATCAGCTGTGGTTATTTTCCGTCTCACGACGGCATCCCTAGAGTGCTTTGCTAGCTCATAGCTCTGTGGCCCTACGTTTGATCTCAATAGTTCGGCGATTTTCACCTCAAGTGTCTCTCGAAGCAACGGATGGTTTCCAAACCTTGGAAAAAAATCAATTTATCTCGAGGACGCACATACTTTCTAGGAACTCGTACTTTGGGAAATCGGTCCTACTCTTGATTTATCCAATGAAAAATAATGTATTTCACATGAACGTGTTCGAGAAACTCTTGATAATTTGAAATTTTCCCTAAACTGCACTCAACTATAGTTTTTTCTGCTCTGTTTCACTCGAAGCTATAAAAACATAGACACGGGTGACATTCTAGTTTTATGTTTGTATTCAAAAGCAATCGGCGATATTGGCCGTGATATCGATGAAGATGTCAGACGGCGGAGGCGCCATTTTATTGTAACGGCGTGTCTGATGCTTTCTTCTGTTTCGTAAGAATCGTCACCGTGTGTGTGTGTGCAGTGTGTGGCTGTGTTCTGCTGGCCACTCAGCTATTACAGCAGCCAGGATCTCCAGTCGGAAATCTATTCTCTCTCTTAGCGCCACCTTCCGCCACCATCAGCTGCACAACCACGATCGGCAGCACAAAACGTCGCCCTCATCGTGTGCTGCCCCCATTCGTCGTGCACATCTGCGAAGTGGTCGAGTTCTTATGATGTCGAATGGAGAGCATCGAATGGCTTAGGGAAGTCCTTCCCAAGCATCTGGCCTGCGATGGACTGCTGGTTCAGTTTATTCCCAAATACTGGAGTGTTTGGATGCTGTTCGCTATTGTCGTCTACCTGTACATTACTCGTCCATTGCCACTGAAATCCGAATGCCAGCAACAGCCACCCCTCGACAGTTCTCTAGAGCAAGAGCTGACGCCACCGCCACCAACTCCGACACCTTTACACTGTAAGCTATAGTGTCACTTTTCTTCATGTGCTATTCTTTTTTGGAAAGATCGATAGCTATCTCACATTCTTTGAAACTCATTAGTTTTTATTCTAGTGGGAGCCATTTTACAGTCACTGCTTACCATCCTACTTTTACAGACATTGAAACTGATCATCCACAGGACGACGGCATGGCTTGGGGCGTAGCCAGAGCAGATTTCTCAGCAATTGTAAGGGGTACAGGGCCAGGGCAGCCCTTGTTCACCCCAACCGCGCCGAGTAGCACGCTTTACTTTGCCGGTATCAAAACTGTATTTTTATCGCAAATTTTGAATTTGGAACGCCGCTGTCAATTACGCAAGCGCGCTACCTTAATTCTTATGGGTTTGGTGTGTGCCCATTAGGATGTGGAGGAAGGCCTTTCTATGGACCAACACCGACAAAGTGACGTTAATTAACCAGGCGCAGTTGTCACTCCCAATTGACGTTTTATAGGCATGCTTTATCTTGATCATACCCTTGAGGAGATTCATCAATCAGGCATGGAAGACTCCATCAATTTCACGCTGATCAGTGGCAAGAACAATTGTGGGATAATCAACAACAGACCTGAAGAGCTGGTCTTGCTTGGTCGCTTTTTCGGTTTCCAAACTATTTGGAGCCATTGGCCGCATTTATGGGCAGATTCTGAGCCTCCGTTCCTTTTTTTTGGGGATATAGCGCTGCAGAGGTAACTCTATAGAGGTAACAGATTTGCGTTCTCTTTTTTGCAGCTCATCGTAACACAGTTTCTGATGTTAGGGTGCATATTACCGCTACTCAGCTCAAAAGAATCATGCACTCTCTTGCAGCGGGGTGCAAATGTCGCGAAGATGAAGCGTATCTTATTCTCGTTTCGAAAGAGGACAAAGTGTTTCACATTCCTCAAGCTTGCTCCTTGCATGAGAACAACACACCCAGTGCAGCAACAAGGGAAAGGTGAGGGGCAATGTTGCGGTCCCATCGGGGCACATCACTTGGTACATCCAGCGTTCGAGCGACTACAAACGCGTGGCTACGTGGCTATCATTCCATGGTAGAGAGTCATTCCATAAGCTCCTGCCAAATTTTTTCGTGAAAGTTCACTTTTACATACTCTATTTCGCTCCCGACGGTTGCATGTCCGCCAGTGAGTGTGTCACGCCGTCAAAGCCGTTCTCTGCCTTCTTGTTGAAGCGCGCATGCGACAAAAAGTGGTAGAAAACGAGTAATACGAACGATATGATACAGTCATATCACTTGCTCGCTTTAACAACTGGTGGAGAACGGGTTTGGCGCGCAAACTCATCCCGCCTGACACGCCCAACTATCCGCAGCGAACTACGCTATAGCAAATTAAGACTGTGAGTAGAAATATCGTTTTTTATTCTTCAGCTCTTCTCGCTTTTAATGATGTCATGCTCTGGGAATGATTCCCGCAGAAAGTGGTGATCCATCGGTGAAATTAGCTAACTATACGAACAAATTGCGCTATTTTCTGTGGTATGAGGTGCATTCATTTGTGGAAAACGGAAACGCCCGCGAAAAACCTTGGGCACGGCAACAGCTTCTCGAGTACATTTAGCTCATTCTATTTTTCTGGCTTTCAAAGCACTCATTGCTGAAGATAGATCACTCATATAGGCAAAACATACAAAAAGGTATGCTTTGAGGCGGAAATACGCTTTGGGCGGGAGCTTCTATTCTTCCCCCCAGAAAAATACCTCTCGATGCTCAACACCTTGAGCGATGCTCCACTTTTTTCTTTTATGGAAGTTTCCCAAGGCGAAAGCTCAAGCAACAGCAGTACAGTCTTGTTCCTTGAGGATCCTGAGCCGTTTGTGGGGGGTTAGGTTAAACGTGGCGCCAACCCTTTTTTCACCTATTCTCGAAGGTGGAAAGCGGACTGGGCTAATGCGTCTAACATATGAGAGAGATGGACTTTGAGAAGATCGAAAAGTTCAGTTGTGTGGTATAGAACTTGACATGAGAAAAAAAAACAGCAATCAAAATTGAATAATGCCCCCATTTTTCAAGCTAATGACCATTTATGCTTTTTTCACCGTTTCTCGCTCAATCCAGCATTTCCCAGGGAGAGTTGAGCTGGGTAACTTGTAGCTACTACCTCGGGAATGTTAAATATGAAAGCGCGTATACTCAGACGTTAGTATGTTGCACAGAAGTTTGTTGCGTGGCCCATCTCCTCAGCCCCTGGTTAAGGATTCATTACCGTGTTCGACGCGCGCCACAGATTCGCTAATAGTGAGGAGATCAGTGTAGTTGGGAGAGGGGGGGGGTCACTCGTCGGCGCCTCTATACTTCTTTATTGAAGAGGCTTAGTACGCAAACGACCAGAGTCGTTTGGGGATAGTTTTGCTGGGAAAACCATCGTCACAAAGTCTAAGTCCTGATTAGGGGCTGTATGAAACCCTGGAAAAGTCCCCCCTCCCGCTCCCAACTACTTTAACCCAATAGGGGTTTCATAGGTTTGTCGTTGTCAGCGGGTAGCTCTCTTTTCCCATTGAGCCATTCCCACTCTTATTGCTTCTTGTAATTTCTGATCAGTTCTGTGAAGTTTATTATACTCGTTCAATGAATACAGTAATTAGTCGTTTTTTACTGGTATTGCGAAAGGATCCCACTATGTCTAATCCAATAAGTAATGCCTATATGTACCTATATGTCTATACCTATATATATGTTTGTCTGTCCGTCTCATTCATGACGCAGGACGCAGCACCCGGAGCGCATTGATTGCTTCGCTACCGTGGGGTAGAGATGGGACGATAGCAGTGAAGGCGGATGACAAGAAGTGATAACAGCTGGCATAGAGCTGATAGGTGTTAGGATGTGTAACTCATTTTTCCATGCGTTGCGTTGTTGTGATATAGCTTTCCCTCTGGCACTTGATGGAGATGGGCAGGGCGTGGCTGCGTGCTTTATTTATACGAGTAACTGCTGCTCTTTTGGTGAGTGTTACCTCGTTGGAGAGCTGCTATCATGTCTGTGTTCAGCACAGCTCTGGTTCTCAAATCCGTAGAGAAGCTAATCACTAACAAGGGAATGGTTTGAACTTCCCATGGAACTTTGAATGGAGACCTAGGTACATCGATATGCTGATTACGAATATGCAGATTAAAAGTGCTACGGGGACCTCCCAGACGAGATCTGGGTGGTCAAAGTTTGAGTTCTGGCTCGTAAGCGCTGCTGATCGATGCCTCGGCAGTGCCACCGTGGCCTCGTGGTAATGGTCTCGCTTTCAAGTCAAACGCATGCGGGTTTGCATCCGGTTGGCGCGAAAATTTTTGCTTCGCTCCGTATAAGAGCTTCAACTCTAATTTTCGAAATTCTTCCGAATTTACGGCCCAGCAGGGCAAGTAGATCAAGTACATCAAGTATACGACGTACTCGATCTAGTATGGATTTGGTCATATCTGCCCTCTCTGAACATATTACCCATCCGACAATTCAAAGTTTTGCCCAGAATCGCAATTTGGCCAGACGAGCGTTTTTTCGTCGAAGGATGTGATATTCGTGTTCAGGGGGTCGAAATCTCCCATGAACGAATTTCTCGCTAAAACTTTGAATTGTCGGATGGGTAATATGTTCAGAGAGGGCAGATATGACCAAATCCATACTAGATCGAGTACGTCGTATACTTGATGTACTTGATCTACTTGCCCTGCTGGGCCGTAAATTCGGAAGAATTTCGAAAATTAGAGTTGAAGCTCTTATACGGAGCGAAGCAAAAATTTTCGCGCCAACCGGATGCAAACCCGCATGCGTTTGACTTGAAAGCGAGACCATTACCACGAGGCCACGGTGGCACTGCCGAGGCATCGATCAGCAGCGCTTACGAGCCAGAACTCAAACTTTGACCACCCAGATCTCGTCTGGGAGGTCCCCGTAGCACTTTTAATCTGCATATTCGTAATCAGCATTCGAGGCTCTATCGATGTACCTAGGTCTCCATTCAAAGTTCCATGGGAAGTTCAAACCATTCCCTTGTAAGTGAGGGTATTTGTCTTATTACGTTTGCATTTGAGACTCACAGGCGACTCTCAGTGTATATCTCAGAGGTGGGAAGTCCGTGACTGTGTTGCTCATTAAAACGTGGAGGCAGCTGTGCTTTTGGAGGGATTTTGCGGTTTTGGAACAGGCACAACCATGAATTTGTTAGTACAAGACAGGCTAAGACTTGGATCACATAGAAATATCCCACGGAAACGCTTGCTAGGCCATGTTCAAGTGAAGCACGCAGCCAGCCAATTCCATCGTTGGGATCTGTAGTGTAAGTCCGCACAGTTCTTAGTTCGCCGGGGGCCAGGTCTCTCACTTCTTAACACAGTCGCGGCGAGGACATTTCGCCCAGAACTCAATTTTATCGTTCATACATAATTGCTAGAAAATTTTAAGAACGTTAAAAGGGGAAAATGTGCACTTGCTTTCGCAGGCCTCTACGAATGGCGCAAAGGTAGGGTTTCGGGTGCATTCTCGGGAGTGCGCACCGCCTTCAATGTACAAGAAACAGGAAGTAAGGTGTCACTTAATGTGTTAAAGGCAGTTGGCACGATGGTTTCCTACTCGGCCTAAAATGCTAGTAGGGCGCTATATAGTGGGGAAATGGCGAAAACGAAAACGGTCAAAATCCTGCGAAGAAAAAGCCTCCGTTCTCAGTGACTTGAAAATCGATTTCGGACGAGTTTCCCGTAGGCATCTTGCCAATCACCGCTACCGAAGATACGGCTGCATATGTGTACCCATATATGCATGCAGCATCACGGCCGCTTCATACCAATCCCTTCGCTTCATAATTTGCTTAGCAAATGAATGAATACGAGCGTCAGGAACGGTCGTCCATTTGTGGGCGGGCGGGCGTTTGGGTCGGTATGTTGTGGCTTGATAGGGCCCTTATAAGGGCACCAAAAATAATTTGGTAAAAAAAATAAAAATCGAGAGACCGTATCCTGCCAACTGCAGTTAATGTTATGACATGCCATACGATATGTTCACGTGCTCGCGTCAGTGACGACGAAACCTGTAGGAACTCTGTATTGTATGGGTCCCGAGACACGACGTCACTTACGTGTTTTGTGACGTCAGTGACACGTCATCTATATATTGACTGGTAAAGTATTACCCGCCCGCCTCTGCTACATCAGCCTCCTTAGCACTAGTTCTGTGAGAAAGAGTGTCCTCCCAGAACTGCCTCATTTCTCACAGAGCAAAATACGAAAAGTATCCGTTCCCCCAGAAATGTGATTGGCTCGACTTCAAAGCAATAAATTCACGAATAGTGAGTCTTGGAATCCCAGTGATAAGTGTTTTCCAGATGCATTTATTTACTGAAGCCTACCGCAAATGTACCTCTCTGACCAGTTATCGAATATCTTCTTCAAAATGACGAAAAAAAGTCTTCTCGACGCAAGAAAAAAAATGTAAAAATAGTGAGGGATAACTAATCGATTGGAAGCTATTGTCATCGTGCTAGAAATACTTGCGCTTCCGATCTGTGGTCTTAAAACGCGCGTTTTGAAGTGTCCACTTGAGTGGTGGCATATTACGAGACCGAATTACTAGTGGTGGCATATTACGAGACCGAATTACTGACTCTAGCTTGAATCGCATATCTTCGCTGTAATGAATATCCTCTTTTTTTCTTCTTCTGTTTCAAATCTTCCCTGCCCCCATATCATTACAAGTAAGTACTGTTTTCTATGGGGAACCATTCTCGCCGATCGATGTTACATCTCTCGGCTGTTGGTTGTTGTACCGTAACGACGTGTCGGGGCGTTGCGACCAGGTGAAGGGGGTTTCCGCTTTTGAATTCTCAGCGGCGCTATTATCATTCATCTCCTTCCTTTATATTCGCTAACCGATCGGAACGTAAGCAATGCGCAAAGTGCGCCATTGGAGTGAGTTTAGCTAGTGAGAGATGCGAATGAGAGGTGTGAAAGTGGAAACATCAAAGAATATAGGCGTAATTCTGTTTATTTAGGCCGTAATCTTCTGAACAAGAAGGAAGGTGGACCACCTTCTACTATAAAGGAATCAAGTGAATCGTCCCAAACGCTTGACGACAACGAATCCGACAAAGGTGATTGATGTATTGAAGTGTAATTGATACAGTGACCATATCGATTCAAAATACCTTTTTCTTCTTCCTTTCCCAATCTCCGA